CATGTGATAAAATTTACTTTATATAGTCTATTATAACAATATAAAATTATCTTATATAAAGAACATAAAAAAATTTATGTCTAAAATATTAAAATTGAGAGAAGATTTACATATTATATATAAAATAAATATTGAGATGATACCGAAAATTATTTCGTCATCAATTTGAGTATAAAATAAACGGAGGCTTAATAACTCCATGCTTTATGCATATGTTTCATTTATCAATTTTATATAATAATTTTAAAATCTCATTATCAAAATTTGTATTCAAATGTATAAAATAAACGGAGACTTAACAATTCTACGCTGCATATACTTAATTTATTAATTTTATGTAATGATTTTAAAATCTTGTTGTTATTAAGATTTTTATTCAAACACGTATCAACAAATGATTTCTTTATAAAAGAAATCCGTATTTATTTGTTTTTGAAAATCAATGCAAACTGACAGAGAGTTTTTGTTCTTAACAAACTCCTACAAGTCTAATTAAATCATATTATTTCAATTTGAATTTCATGATGATTTTAAAATCTGTACACGTGGTCATAATCTATCAAGTAAACAATCCCCATAATATTAGAAATCAGTATTTATGTGTTTTTGAAAATCAATGCAAACAGCTTGATAGTTTTTTTCTAAGAAACTCCTACATTTATAATTAAATTATATTATTCAATTCAATTTGAGTACGAATTTAAAGTTTCAATTTGAAAGTGAATTTAAAAATCTGTACACTTGTTGATAGTCTTTCAAGTAAACATAGTCCCAATTTTTTTTTTTTCGTTATTAATTTTTTTATTCCAACAATATGTGGTGAAGATTTATTAAGTGAGTACCTATGATATATGGATTAATATCCAATGTTGTAGCATACACTTTTTTTAATTGCATAAATATAATTGTGTTTTTTTTTCTTTGCATGGACGGTATAATTAGTGCAAGTTAATTAAATGAAGTTAATTTTTTAATAAAATTCATTTAAGTTTTTTTTTTTTTTACTAAAATGAATGATGCAAACTCGTACCATTTTAAATTCTCCACAATTTGAATTACTCATTATCTTTTGAATACTGCTAAATTTAATATCTATCATTATTTATGCGGGCAATTTTGTAGGAAAGTTATTAGGAAATTGTTAACATTTGAATTTGAATTAAAGATTTGCATGAAAATTATTAGGAAATTGTTAACAATTGAATTTGAATTAATTTTTTATTTTATTTTTTTTTTGTTTTCCCTATAAGTTCGTTAACACAATCATATTTTATTTAAACTTCTATCCCTTCCTTATTTAGAAATTTTGAAATTTGTTTTGCTTGCTATTTTTAGTAAATAGTAATTCTTTTTATATAAGTATAGATTAATTATATGGTTAGTTATTGCTGTGAAAATTAAATTAGTTTAGTGTTTATTTTCTAAATTACCCCTCTAGTTAATTTCTCCCTTCTTTGGACATAAAAAGGAAATATTTTTTTCATAGGGTAAACTGCGGCAAACCCCCATGTGTTATACGAAATAGGCGCGTTACTACCCTGTGTTTTAAAAAATGCATAACACCCCCTTGTATTAGAGTAACCAAACCCCCTGTGTTATACGAAATAGGCGCGTTACTACCTGTGTTTTAAAAAATGCATAGCACCCCCTTGTATTAGAGTAACCGATGCACACGCTCCCTTTTTTTTATTTGTCCAGTTAACGGAGTTAATTTTTTGCTGAAAACTCCATTATACCCTCCGAATTTTTTTTTTATTTTTGATAAGTTGAATTTATCACGATATTTTAATTTTGCAGGCCATGAGGTCCGAACCCAAGACCTCATGGGAGGAAAGGAGCATTGCTACCACCCCACTAGTCCAACTTGTGTGTTAGATTTAAGAACGTTAAATATATATAGACATTACACATGTACAAATCAAATTAAATTTAAAAGATAATGTAAATTATATTAAAATACATTAATAAACTATAAACTTATAATAAATTAAAATATAATAAACTATGCAACATAAATTGAATAATTACAATAACTTATATGTATTTATACAAAAATTATTGTTAAAATAACAATATTTATTTTATTTAATTTAAATTATTTTCATCTACTTTTGTTTTTATTATTTATTTTAAATTGTATTATTTCATATTATACTATTTTTTTTTATTTTTTTTTCCCAAAACGACAGAAATAACTATTAATAAAGAAAACAGGCGAACACCGTTCGAATACATCGGGATACAACAACTCAAAGAAATTAAAACTGAGAGACGCGCCAAAGGCGATCTAGAACCTCAACAAACCAACAACACTACTACAAATTATCATACTAAAAACCAACAAGCTACAATAATGCACAAGGAAAATAGCCCCTGACGACTGCTACAAAGCCTAGCTAAGGGTTACAATCCAAAGCAAAATAAAACAAAAAACAAAAGCTGTCAAAGAGGAAACTAGCAGCATTAACCCACAGCTGAGATGAAGTGAAGCCAGTCTGAATGAGCAATCTGCACCACCACATGCTCAGGCATCAATGACTTTTGAAAAATCCAGAGGTTCCTGGATTTCCAGAGCCACCAAAGCAAATACGTGGATAGTTGAATTCGAGCTTCGGCCACCTCAGAATGATCCAAGGAACACATCTGATACCACCAATCAGCAAAGGATTCTGTTCTGTGCCTAATGCCAGCCCACTGGACAGGGCTGAGCTCCCAAATTCTCTGAGCTCTTGAACATTTGAAGAGGAGGTGCTCCAGAGTTTCCATATCTTCTCCACAGATTGAGCAGGTGATGTCCAGATTCACTTTCCCTTTAAAGAGTTGCACTGCAACTGGTAGGGTGTTGGTGAGACATTTCCACAGAAAAAACTTCAATTTACTTGCAATTTTCAATTTCCAGTGTCTGTATTGGATGGCCTTATTGAGAGAAGAGGCTGAGCTGCTTTCAGGAAAGTCTGTCTGCAAGTATTTCATAGATACTAGGTGCTTGTAAGTACTAGAAACAGAGTAGTGACCCTTCTTCTCTAATCCCCAAAACATCCTATCACTTCTGTCAGAATTAAGGGATTTAATACCAAGAACAGCATTGCTATCAGAATTGTCAAAAACTTGCCTTACAAGCCATTCATTCCACATATTTCCCACTGGCAGCATCAAGTCCTTAACCCAAATCAAGTGGCCTTATTTATTTTGTTTAACTTAATACAATGATATAAAATTAAAATATATTTTACTAAATAAAATTTTGAAATTAAAATTATTTATTTCTATTTAAAATCATTTACTAAAAATAATAATTTCTTTCTAATTTTTTATTCATATGGTATTGAAGAGTAAATTGTACTAAAAATTAATAGATAAATTATATTTTTATTTTACTGTTAATTTAATATTTTTATTTATTTTAATATACTATTTTATAATAAGTTAATTTATTTTACATTAACATTTTTATATTTTATTATTTTATATTATATTTTTTATGTTATTTTAACTAGTTTACTTTAATTTTATTCATTTTCTAATTTAATATTATTATTATTATACATTTACAATTTATATTATTAATTTTATTTTAATAAATAAAATTGTTAATTTATTTAATTTTAATTTCTGCTACTATAATTGCTTTTATCTTACTTTATTATATTTTATTTTTCATTATTTTTATATTAATTTAATTTATTTCATGTTATTATTATATTATTATTATTGTTATGATTATTTAATATATATTAAATGTACCTACTATATTAATTATTGTTTTTATTTTTAAATCTAATTTTTTTTATTATTATATATTTCCAAATTTATATTAATTTTAATTTTATAATAGAAATATATAATTTATTTAATTTCAATTCATGCTACTATATTAAGTTCTATCATACTGTATTTTTTACATTATTTTTATTCTCAAACTCTTATTATTATTATTATTATTATTATTATTATTATTATTATTATTATTATTATTATTATTATTGTTATTATTATTATTATTTAATTTGTTTTGAATTTACCTATTATATTTTTATTTTACTTTATTAATTCGTTTAGAGTTGATATAATAAATGTAGTTGTGTACCATTCTTACACAAGAATCTATATGTCCCATTGGTTTATTGGGCAAGCTCACCTCCTTGAGACATAGGCTCGATTCCTCCTATTGACAAAAAATTTTAGTTTGTTCAATAAAGCACAGGAGGATATAAAGGTAATTTATTAATTATGTAAAATAAAAAAAATGTAAAATTATCGCAGGTATAGAAGGTGTTGTGCACGCGCCGTTAAATTGGACGGAATGGGTGAATCGTGCAACAACTACTTAAATACAAGGGGGTGTCATGCATTTTTTAAAACACAGGGTAGAAGCGCATCTATTTCGTATAACACAGGGAAGTTTGGCGTAATTTACCCTTTTTTCATACTACTAATTTTAACTGTTAGATCATCTATCTTATATTAACTACATGTGCATCCAACAGTTAAAACTCCCGACGGATAGTTCCGTAACGGGACCGCAGCATTTTCCCCTAATAATAAATGTGGAGAGTGGAGGGCCTGGTGGCCAGCCTAACCCATCCGCTTTGCTACTTATTTTTATTCCTTCATTCACAATATATTAATAAAAGTGGAATTCACATATAATCGTATAATAAATATTATATAGATTTCCAAAACTTTAGTATAGATAAGAAAATCCAAGTTGCTGGCTAGCACTACTTGTCATTTGAGCTAAGTTGAAAGTCACTACTTAGCAGTCTGTGTAAGTCAAGGTTTACGTTTTGAGTTTTTAAGCATGCATATTTCCAAGGAAACAGTAAACACACATTGCATTAGTGAGGCTCGCCTCACCCATTTGGTTTTGGCTTATTTTCACATTTAATTGTCTTGAGAAATTCTCAGATGTACCATTAATTTGCCATCTTATCATTACCTAAATCTCGATTGAGTGTCAGTGATAAAAATAAAATAAATTAAAATGAGAAGTGCTAAAAGGAGAATTTATTGTGATTGCAGCATTTCCATGTAAAAGTATGATGTTTTGGTATTAGATTCAGATTTGTACAAACTATATTTTAATGGTGGTTAGATTAGTTAGAGATGAAGATTCCAAATGGCATCATCACCCTCTCCACATGCACTATGCACTTTTGTCATCCTCTCCACCGATTTGCATACACCACTGCAGTCCCAGTCGAACGACGCCACACAAAAGTTGCCCACACCCGATTTAAACTCGCAATCTAATTAAGAAACATGCAAATTTAGGGAGAGTAAACTAAATTGGCGAAAAAGATAAATAAGAAACTGATGTTAATTGTATATACCCGGAGGCGTGCCACAGCACATAGAGTTATCGTCCACATGTTGGACTTCCAATCCAATCAACCATGCTCCCAACGACACGTCCTCATTTGCATACCGGTGCAAGATTCCTCTGCCATTTTTTTTTTATATATATATATTTCATTTATTAAATACGTTTTTATAATCATAATCAATATTACATGATATTTATGTATATATATATATATATTATCAAACAGTTACGAGTTGATTGAAATGTATGTGGCCAAGTCCTTGGAGATTGCGTAGATTTGGCCCGTGGCATGCCTGAAATATTTGTTCCCTTCATCCCCAAATTTCCAGTACTCTGGCTCTTGATACTTAACTCCTCTGCCACATTATATAGTGATGAGATATGACTAATCTTCTATGTGCACAACTAAGAAAAAGAATAACTTACTTGCGAGAAAGGACTGGTCCAGACTTCATGCATCCTATATAAACCCGAGGTTTTGATCTATGCTTTGCTAACATACTCACTAGCGCACCTTAAATTTATTATGATATAGGTTTTTGTATTGTGACAAGAGGAACAACCCCTTAAATCCACCTTTCAATTTTAATATTTGATGTAGGTACTGATAAAAACTAAGCCAAGTGAGACAGGACAAAAAGGCTACAAAGCAAGGGAAGTTCTGAAACTTAGTCACCTTTCAGCAATATAAACATGTCAATATAAACATGTCAAAACAAGCACTTCACTTATCTCTTTTTCTCAATAACATTAAACCCGTCATTTTCAGCAAGACAATAACACATTAAGCTCAGCATATAAAGGGCAACAACAATGGGTATATTCAACATACAAACTCGGCCAAGAGAAAATCATGAGGTTCAGCAAATTTACCTCTCGTTCTGGGAAAAACAAGCCCGATTCACCAACACGTCCTCGAAAGCGGCTCGGAACAAAGGCGCCTCAGACCACGAAAATCCCACTCTCAGATGGTGCTCAAATCACCAGAAAGAAGGCCCTCAGCCCGAGAAATCTCCAAACGGCGGCTGGTCAAACACCCGGTCACTGCTCGTTCGCATTAAATACCTAGAAAAACGACTCAGCCCACCGCTGCTCTCGATGGTCCCTCTGTCCGGCGGTTAGTGGCGGCTGAACGGCGTGACGGGCGGAAGTTGGCGGGCTGGTCAAACGTGGTCGGGGTTCGCTGGTGGTTCTACGGCGATGGTTGACTGTCGGGGCGCGGCTGTTCACGACGGCGGCTCCCCCTGGACGGCTCGCGAGCGGTTTGCGCGTCTCCCGACAGAAATTGGCTGCCCTCGGCGTCGGTCGAACGTGGCAGCGGCCCCACTTCGCTGGTCTCCGACGGCGTCGCCGGCGTGGCATACGCGGCTGCCGCTCGTGGTCAGGGACGGCAGGGTTCTCGGTTGCTTGAGGAGGCGTCGTCGGAATCGCTCAGCAGCACAAGGTCGTTTCAGTCGCGCGCTAATCTCGCCGGAAGAGCTGAAGCTTCAGGTCGCCGGAATTGTTGCTGGGCTGCGACGTAGGAAGGATGAGGCTCGCTGTTGCTGCTCGTTTCCGCCGAGAAGGGAGAGAGACGAGGGGAATTTTGAGCAACAAAAACTCGAAAGGTACAGAGCAAAAATGAAATCACAAAAAAATAAAAATAAAAAATCTAAAATCTATTATTAGAGAAAATTATTAAATGTTGTTAATATCAAAGGTTGGATTTTAGCTTCCAAAATTTAGTTTTGCTACTTACTTACCAGCCGCAAGGCTGTAGGCAAATATAATGAATGTAAATTTTGTGGTTTGAAACCTGCGCTCAATGTTATTGCAGCTGCAATCCATTGATCCCAACACGAACCGGTAAGAAAGATGCACGTACAATTGAAAACTCAATTTAATATTGAGATAAAAGAAAAAAATGACTTAAATAGTGTTTACACTGTACACTAAAAAATTCAGAAAAAAAAATCATAAATAATGGTTAAAAAGACTCAAATATTTTTTACTCAGTATACCATTACTTAATGTATATTACAAACTTTGACGATGAAAATTTTAAAATGAAAGAATCACGAATAATAGGGCGTGTACTAATGTATACGATAAAATTCAAAAACAGTTAAAATGCGTATACACCTGTACACCGAAAAATTCAAAAAACAAACTATTATTTAAGGTATATTAAAAACATTGATGGTGAAAATTCAATTTTGAGACGGTAAAAAAAAGGCTGAAAGTGCGTGTAACGTTGTATACCAAAATTTTTAAAAATGAAAAAACTCGTAAATACAGGTTAAAAAGGCTCAAACAAAATTTCATTTGCCACAGTACACCATTATTTAAGGTATGTTACGAACTTTGAAAGTGAACATTCAATTTCGAGACGGTAAAAAAAATGGTTGAAGGGCGTGTACAGTTGTACACCGAAATTTTCGAAAACGAAAAGATTCGTAAAATATGGTTAAAGTTTCAAACATAACTTCTTTTGTTACAGTACACCCTTATTTAAGGTATATTACGAACTTTGAAGGTAAAAATTAAATTTTGAGACAGTTGAAAAAACAGCTGAAGGCGTGTACAGTGTACATCGAAAAATTAAAAAATGAAAAAACTCATAAATTAGTGTTAAAAAGGCTAAAAAAATTCTTGTTCCACAGCACACCATTATTTAAGGTATATTACAAACTTTGATGGTGTAAATTCAAATTTGAGACAGGTAATAAAAGGCTTAAAGGGTGTGTACAGTTGTGCACCGAAAATTACAAAATGAAAAAGACTCGTAAATTATGGTTAAAAAGGCCCAAACAAAATTTCTTTTGCCACAATACACCATTATCTAAGGTATATTACGAGCTTTGAAGGTGAAAATTTAATTTCAAGATGGTAAAAAAAATACCTGAAAGGGCGTGTACAGCTGTACACCGAAAATTTAAAAAATGAAAAAACTCATAAATTATGGTTAAAAATGCTAAACAATTTTTTTTTTCCACAGAGCACCATTATTCAAGGTATATTACAAAATTTTATAGTGAAAATTCAATTTCGAGATGGTCGGAAAATCAACTGAATAGGCGTGTCTAGTTGTACACCAAAAATTTAAAAAATGAAAAAACTCATAAATTATGGTTAAAAAGGCTAAACAATTTTTTTTTCCACAGAGCACCATTATTCAAGGTATATTACAAAATTTTATAGTGAAAATTCAATTTCGAGATGGTCGGAAAATCAACTGAATAGGCATGTCTAGTTGTACACCGAAAAATTTAAAAACGAAAAAACTCGTAAATTATGGTTAAAAAGCCTCAATTAAGAGTCATTTTATGCTACTCATGCCTTTGCTAATACATTTTCTTTCCCTTATTTCACCTTTCTGCAGTTGTTTCTACCTTTGTTATTTCTTTAGTATTGTCTATTATTCCTTATTTCTTATAACAGAATAAAACAATAATAAGAAAAGTATTCCACTTCCTTAGTTTGTCTAAAATAACATTTTCATTTTACCCTTCAGGAGCGGCTTGCTGCACTAGAAGAATGTCGAGATCTTGGACAAGGTTTTCAACTTGCAGAAAGAGACATGGGCATCATAGGCTTTGGGAATATCTTCGGAGAGCAGCAAATAGGGGATGTTGGAAATGTTGGGATTGATCTTTTCTTTGAAATGCTTTTGAGAGTCTGTCCATGGTATGCGGGTCCTCAAATTATTTTTCATAATGGTTGCTTATATATATATAGACATCATGCTAAAATCATGTCTTCTGATCTTCTGTCGATTAACTTGTCAAAGTACTGCAGTTCGCTACAATATCCTTAAACTCCCTACACAGGTATCCTTCTTTTAAGAGTTGACTTTTGTTTTTTGAACTTCCAGGTAGATGAACACCGTTTAGTCTCCATCCCTTACCATTCAGTGCAGGTACTGCTTACTTTTAACATGACGTCACAGAAAAAGATATTTTCACGTCAAAGCCTTTTATGCTATGCTGCAAAGTCTGAGTCCATGATCATTTTAGTTGTATCTCCTATGTGGTTTCTTGAGTTTCTGAATTACTTCTTTTAGCACTACTATTTTTTGTTTTTGTCTTGGGACCGAAACTGGTGCTTTTAGGATTGTTCAGGATGTGTCTAGTGCAGATGTAATATTCTGGAAGTATTGCTACGTCTGAGAATTGAGATAGAAGCTTTCTCCAAAAGTTTTATCTGGAAACTCTGATTTCCGCAATCTAACCAACAGTTCTCAAAAGATTCATTGCTACGAATATCTTTAAAAAGAGAACAAGATCTATTGTGCTTGTGGTAGTTTATTATGATAACACAGGTTTTCGTATTTATTCTGGCATGATGTTTATGCAATCATTTGAGGATCTACAATAAAATGAAGATTAGCTTTTGATTGTCATTGTCCGCACCAAAAATATGATAAATTATTCAAAGAAAATTCAATTTACAGCTGAGGAAGGAGTTTGTTAAACTTAAAGATTAGAGTTTTGACTTCTTCACCAATAGAAAGATTTTCTATTGTCAATGGCAAAGGTTCAATGTTGTTCGGTGGACCATACCAAGCGATATTTACTTTCAAAATAAAATAATTGAAAACTAGAAATGTGCAACTAAACCCAAAAAACTAAAATACTGATTCATTCATTCATTTTGTTTGATCTGCCAATAAAATCTTGGAGCTTTGGCAAAACATGTTCCTTATTTTTTTTTTGGATATATCCATATGTTCACTTTCTCACTTCAAATATGCATTGAATTTAATAGATAAACAATTTTTTTATGACTTCAAAAATTTGAATTAGGCATATAAACACAATTCATGATCCTACTATTCCTATTCCTGTGCAGTTTGATCTCGATTTGAACCACCATCTCCCTTCTGAATACATAAATCATCTAGAGAATCCCTTGGAAATAATAAATGAAGCTGAGAATGCTGCTCAAAGAGACATCTGGAATCTAGTTCTCTTTACTGGGGATCTGCGACGCCATTATGGAAAAGAGCCTTACTCCATGGAAATTCTATTGAAGAAGCTATATATAAGAAGAATGGCGGCAGTTTAGAAATTACTGAAATATACACTTCAGGTAAGATGGTGGGCATAAAAAAAAAAGCATCAGTGAAAAGGTTTTCAAGATGATGAGGGATTCAAAGCCATCTGAAACACACCGTAGTTCCATTGTCTTCGAGGATGGTTAATAAAGAATAAGTAGAAGAGTTGAATCTCCCATGTCCTTTTGTTGTTTATTCAAGTACTTAGTATTGTTGGAATTGTTGCAACGTCTAGGTTTGTAGCACAAGATTAAATGTGAGATTACATATATTTGCTTTTGGGCAAGTTAGTTCAGGATCACACTCTCTCTAGTCATGTCTTCTTGATTTTTGTCATCTTTTGAGTTCATGAGTTGAATATGTGCCAGTTGTTATATACAAGTGTATCTTCTTTTAAGTTCCTATATTTAGTAATTCTCATACATTTGCATGTACTTGATTTGTTGAAATCTGGAAGGTATTGCAAATGCCTCATACATTTACTCTCTCATAAATAATGGTATGTACTATCTCATCTTCAGTTATGTCACTCCATGTGATTTAGGCTGAACTACTTCTGAAATTACCAAGAACAGTTGCTGGAGTGGATTTTTCGTTGCTTAGCCGAACTCTATGCATCACTACCGGCATTGATAAAATACTAATTTGAAGTGGAATGTAGGAGTTTCCCACACCGGAAAGCCCTATTCTGCACCTTGCAAACTTAGTTTAGGGGTCTCAGCTCTGAAAACTTTGGTCAAGGGTCTTTGCTGAATCATCTGCTTCTTCACGACAATTAGTGAACTTGCAGGCATCTACGGATGAGAATCCATTGTAGATATGGAAAACCGTCACGCACATATATATAACAATATATTGATAATAACATAAAGCACTATAGTGGATTGTGAACTTCCATTTTGAGGTATGGTATCGTTTAACCAGATATACCTTTCTTAGGTTTCGGGACAAAATGTTTGATTTTCTTTTTTTGTTGTACAGAATCTCGTGGGGTATGTAATCCTGTTGCCACGAAGCATAAACGATTATTTCAGGAAGGGGCTTGACTGTGGTTGTGCTCGTTTCAAACTTTTAAGTGCATATGAATGTCCAAACAGGTAAAAATCTTAAAGCAGTAACTTGGCCACTGGCAAACAGGTCATCCAAAAGGCACGACTTTGGCATTTGCGTAGACGTACTGGCAGACGAGTACTGTAAAATCTCCATGGCAATAATTTGTAATGTTTTTGAGGTCAATCTACTATTATTTGAGTTGCGCCGTGGTGGATATTTTGCTCCTATTTTTCTCAAAAGCTTATTATAAGTTAATATCTATTTGTGTTATAATCAAACAACATTTCATGAGTAATAAGAAATTAGCTAATATTTAGCTGTTTTATGGGATAATATGAACTAAAACAACTAAAAAATAATAATGGTAAAAAATTAAAAAAAATTTATAAATAATGGTAAAAGAGCCAAAAGAAAAAAAAAAACTTTCTTTCATCCATTACACCGCTATTTTATGTATAGTAACAATTTTTTTATATTAAAATTTGAGTTTTGAGATACAAAATGAAACGATCAAAAATTATGATAATGGTATACGTGAAAATGCGAAAATTAAAATTAATAAATAATGGTAAAATAGTCTTAAAAAACTTTCTTTCACCAAGTTAAATCATATTTTTTTTTAAGTATATAACAAACTTGGATTGTACAAATTTGGTCCACAATTTTATGTATATAAGAAACTTTGATGGTACACAATTTAGTTTTAAGATGATAAAATAAAGCGTTTAAAAAGCGTGAATTAGTACACGCGAATGAATTAGGGCATGTATAGTGGTAAAAGGAAGTTTGTCTTAAAGTATAAAATTGGCGTGTATAGTGGTAAAAGGAAGTTTTTGGGGCACAATGAAATATGACAATGTTGACAATCGATCTGGCGAGTCATTAAATTCAGAGGGAAACATATACTAATATGAGCTCAATTCAAAGTAGGATAAACTCGGTTTGAACAAGACGCAGAACTGACCTCGTCCATCCATGACGATTGACCTATGCGATCAACTGAGCTCAAAGGTTGTGACAAGGCGCCTACGCGACCAACTGCCCAAACCGCCCTCCACACATGTCGTCATCATAACTTGTGGGCCCAACTACAGTACAATCCGCCCCCATAAAGTCACTTTGCACTAAATGCGGCCGTACCAACCTTGAACATCGAGCCAACAAAAGTTACTATAAATAAGAGAATTAATACCTATACATAGTTTTCGGACATAAAGAAAATACATGTAAAATCTACTCGGTTCATACAAAAACCGACTTCCTGTAACAGTTCAATCTTATGATAATCCCAAAGCTAAACACTTTATACCATTTTACATCATTAATTACAAGTTATTATCGTTGTTAATTATCGCATAACAACAGTTTGGCGCTAGAAGGAAGGGCTCCATAAGTTGTTTGGAACTAATCTTCGATTCCATACACAAGAGTCACATAAGTTCTCAGTATTTGTGTCCGTGTTCATCATCCGAACGAAAATCATGTCCTAATCAAGACAACAAGATCAAACGTCAAGGGTTGATCACAACTGGGGTGCCGCTCCGTCCGCCGGAAGAACCAGCGTGATACTGACGATACCGGACTTCGCTGCTCTGTTTCAAAATCCACAGTTTGTGAAGGGTTTCTGTAGCGCCCCCATTCGAATTACAGTAAAATCTCGTTAAATTAATACTCGATAAATTAATAACCTCACTAAAACTAATAATTTGTCCGGTCCCAAGTTGGGACCAATAAAAATTTGGGATCCAATCAATAAAATTATAAGATAATAATTTTTTTGAGATCCCATTATATATATATTAGTCCCGACGAAACTATGATTTAATAATTATTAAAAATAATTATATATATATATAATGCACTTGAAGATTCTTAAGACAACTTAGTAATGAACCATATTTTTGTATTTTCCAAAACCAATTAATTTAAACAAGCCATTCTAACTTCTACGTGAGTTTGTATTCATGGAATTCTACTAGTACATTTGTATTTTACCTTAATTTTCATCAATAACTATGCATGTATACTTAGGGGGGTGTATTCAATTAAAACTTTTAGTGACTTTTTAAGACTTCCAAAGTTTTGGGGTATTCAATTGAAACTTTTTTAGACTTTCCAAAAGTTTACATGTATTCAATTAAAACTTATTAAGACTTTTTATAAGTCTCCAAAAGTTTTAAGGTAGACAATTTTATAAAAGTCAAAATTCTATCATTTTTTATTAAAAAACTCCGTTTACCATAAAATCGAGAATTTCGAATTAGGCAAAATACTATAAAATGTATCTTTACCTAATTGCAACAGATGTTTATTAAAATAAAAATCGGATTGCATAGAAATTTGGCCCTATTTAAAATTGAAAATTAAAATTTAAAAATTTCTTATCATTTGGCTACTACTTTCTTTAGTTCGGATTTTTTTAAACATAAAACAGAGTCAAATAATTTTAATTTGAAATTCAAAACGAAATCGGATTAGAACATCCTAAAATTTGTATTTGTTTAAACCTCTAGAATACAAATTTGAAATTGACTGCATATACTTGTACAATTTTTCCCTTCATTAAATTAAGTAATTTACAATTTTAAAATATTAAGGCTATAGATTATCAAGAAAGACGTTATACAATCTCTATTATATTTGCGATAGACGATATATCAAAAGACCAAATAAATAATGTTGTGTACAAATATGTGTTGAATAATGTATCAGTTACATTTTGTTTTATTTTAATACATGCGTTTTACGTTTTTCCAATAATCCAATCATTTAAATCTAAATGTTTACCTTAATGAAACTAGCCTTGCATCGCACGGGTACCGCACTAGTAAACCCTAAACCCTAAATTGTCGAGCCATACACGAAGATAAGCGCAATGCAATACAAATTATAAAATAAAACACGAAAACTCTTAAAAATAGAATGGGGCACTAAAATAAAACGAAAGGGATACTACATATCCAATTGGCCCGCTAAATTTTTTGAATAAATATGCATAATTCTACTAGAAAATATCACATTGTAATAAACAAGTAAACTTATGCTATAAATATATATTTTTGGTCCAATTTAATGACCGACCCGTCTAACAATTAGACTAACTATTAGAACACCAATTTATTTTTTTTAACAAATATAGATAATTTCACTAAAGAAATATCATGTGTGAAAACAAGATGCTAACACATGTGATGCAATTTAAACAAAAATAGAGGTTGTTGCTGACAACAAAATTTCTGGTTTATCCAAACAAGTGACAACAACCACTTTCCCCAACCGCAAATACTGCTAGCAAGCTGTTCAAAAAAATATGCGGCAAAAATGTAATGTAAATTGATTGG